CTGAGATAGTTGGAGTATACTTGAGTACGTAACCCGACATCTAGTCGCCTAATTACAAAAAAAAAAAAAAAAAAAAAAAAAAAACACGACTATTTACATTTACATAGAGGTGTAAAAATCCACACAAGTCTAAGACTAAAGGGGCGTGGGCTGTCATGCGACAGTAGCAGGTCTCTTTCCCTTTCTGAAAATAGACTGAAGGCATGTTTAAGCATTCTAAATCTTTTTTGGGATAGGGGCATGGACGATAACAACATTTTTCAAAAAAATACGGGAATCCGTAGGTGCTGGTCCATTTTGGTGCGATATCTCCAGCTGTCTTGTCTTAGAGCGTCGGGTGGCCTTTGACGGTTTCCGTTGTCCTTTTCTTTTCTGAAAATATACCTAGTAATAAATCTGTTAGGTAGTTTCGACGTTTATATTCGTCTATGGAGTAGAAACAGTGGAGATAACACAGGTTAGGCTTTAGGCTGCAGTTTTGATTTGTGTCAATTGCATCCAGCTTCCCAGCTTGGCAGTAGACGTTGATAATCTGGTTTCCGAGTGCCAGTGATTGTCGCGGAAATAGCTTGGCAGTTTTTACTGTCGAAGGTTTGTTGACTTATGACTCGGATTTTGTGGTGTACCAGGACTGCCACGCACCCACCCTTTGAGTCTGTTGTTCTGTCTTGTCTAGTTGGTGTATCCTTTTATTTAAATTGGTTATTGGGTTTTAAATGGGTCTCCTGCAGGGCGATGATGGTGAGCTCGCCTTCTAGCCGATTCATCATTCCTAAAAGGTTCTTCTTTTCTCCGCTGCAGTTCTATTGAACTATTTTTATGTTGTCTTCCTTCTTTATTCGTTACGTTCATCTGTTGTGTTTTAGTGCGTTGTGTGTATGTGTGTGTGTGTGTGTGTTGTTGTGTGTGTTTTTTTTTTTGATTGTCTTTTTGGCTTTTACATTAAGATAAGCCACTGTTCAGATTGCTTGTAACTGTAGACTCTTCTTCCTCATCAGTTTCATTTAGCGGGAATTGTGAACCACTTTCTTTCATGCATTTATCAATGCACGCTCTGATCCTACCGTCGATTGTCGAGTGCAATTTGGTAAGGGCTTCTTGCATTTGGTTGGTGTATTGCATTTTGGTTTTCAGGTTTTAAGTTTTATTGAGGAGTTCTTTGGCTTAGCATTTTGTCTCTTCGACTGTCTGTCATTTAGAGAGAGTCAGTGAGTTCTCTAAATTCTTCTGTGTAAGTATCCGCTGTTCTCTTGCTGCTGGCCTTGTTTTGACGGTTAGCTACCTTTTCAGTTCGTTAATCTCTTTGTCTTCGGTCGCTTTCGATGCTGACTGTGTGCTATTTTTAGCCGTATTTTGATTGGCTGCCTATGTAGCTTAGAATACTCGCACGTCGGACTACATTTCCTGTCGTGCTTTTTCTGTTTCTATGTCTGGTGCTGTCTGACGACCCTCATGAGGGTATTGTGGAGGTTTGCCACTTGCCAGACCAACTTTATTTCCCTTGAGTTTGGGCAGCCTTGGTGAATGGAGCTGTGATTGCCTTTAAAGTTGGCACACCACTTTCTCTCCAGGTTTCGATACCAGTGATTTTCACCACATAATCTACAGACCGGAAGTTCTTTCTGGCAGTTGGTGCGAGTATGCCCAGACGTCTGGCATTTCTGGCATTGAACCACAGGGGAGATGAAGTTTTCGAAATATTTTTATCTCCTTCCTTTGAGGCTGCGCATGCGGGGAGGTCCGTTTCAGCAAATATCACCATCAGAATGGAGGTGGGTTCTCCGTTCCCTTTGTTGATCTTTTCTACTTGGATTATTTTTTGGTTTTCCTGCTTCATGTTGTCAATGAATTTCGCTTTATAAAACCCTAGAATAACGCCCTTGACTGCATTTATGATGCTTTCTTTCACGATATCAACTGCAATCGTTATGTTGTGTGCGCTGATTATATTTTTTTTTCACTTGAGCTTTTCAAGTTTGTAAGAAGGTCTTCTGTGAGCGCGGCAAACTTAGGAGGTTAAAAAAATTTTTTGTCAGCAATGAGCCTGGCCATTGACTTGGTTCCAGTCTCCCAGCCTCAACAATCTGCTTGGCTTGATCTTTCTGCACTTTAAATAACGACAACTGGTAAAACTATCTGTGTTATGTTCACTCGAATTTCCTTTTTCTCGGAAGGTGTTGTCCTTAATGGCTCTTTTTTTCTAGTATGCTAGCCATACATTGACCCCTTCCCCTCATTTTTGCCGCCTCAGTTTTCTGGTGTGTGGCTGTCTTTGCTGTATTCAGGGGTGCGAGCAGCGGCATTGGTTTTCTTGTGGTGCACTCTCTTTGAGCGCTCTTGCGGCCTCTACTCGTCGGTTTTATGACACCTGAATCAGCTACTTGCGACTCTTGCGACTTGCTCGTGAATCTTGGATTGGTAGTCTTTATTAGATCGAATGGTTACTTCTTTTGTTTTAGTAACCTCTTATGTGATGTGCTTTGAAACACAGAGAAAACAGGCAGCAAACCAAACTCAGGATATTGTGGAAACTCAAAGCTGACCGAAGTAAATAATTGTGTTGCTTCAAACACGCAAAACTCGAAATTCTAACAAGGACAATCAAGTAATCGTGAATCCAGAAAGCACAATCCAAAACCAGATGAGATGAGGACCAGAAACATCACCACGAATATAGCTGGCAGGAAAGAGAGCAGCAATGTTTTCTGACCCTAGCTGGAAGTGGTCAACGTTAAATGATTGATTGATCGTGAATCTATAATTAGTAGCCTGTGCGCTCTGAAAGCTAGGATCGACTGCTGAGTTCGCTTGCTGCAGTGAGACTTTGTGTTGTGTCTTTAAGTTCTGGCGATTTTTGTACTGGCCCACCAGCCACAGTGGACGACGAGCTCAAAGGTAGAAAGGATAGAGTTGGACTTAGTGCACGTTCGTAATATAAACATGAGCGGTCTACTGTCAAATGGACTACAGTTGACTGTGATACCTGGTGTTTCGGAATTAGTAGTGAAGCAGGTCACTGTCCATGTAACAATTACAAATAAAATTACAGTACAAACAATATTAGCCACAGCAGAATAATTAAGGTGCGTCCGTTATGATATTTTCCCGTTGCTATCCTCATCAGCTCTACTAAATTGGTGCAACCAGCTGTGATATTCTAGTCACAATAAAACCCATAGACCGTATCACGAATGAGTCATTTCAAGTTAATTAAAAGTGCTGCTGGAAAAGACAGCTATATTAAAATACACATATCCTTTTTGTTGTTGGTTCTACTGTTGTTGGTGCATTTTTTGTTTTGTTTTGTTATCTGTGTTTGATTTGATTTGCTTCAAGAACCGACATCACAGTACTCAGAGCATTCCCATCCTCAGCAGCCAGCGAAGAGCTCCGATACTAATGATGCCAGTAGCATTCTGATTAAGCGCCCGTCTTGCCTTTCCTCTGAGCCTCGAGCATCTGCCAAAACCTCTGGTGACTTCCAACTGCATCAATCTCACCACACTGTGTTGATCAATCAGCTCCTCCGAACTGTACAAGCTCTCCTACAAGGAACTAACCACGTCTGCCTTATCATGCATCAGTATTCCATCAAGCTGTGCAGAGCAAGCGAGTCTGTCCGCCTGTTCATTTCCCAACACACCGGCATTCCCTGTTGTAAAAAATCCAGACAATACTCCTCATCCGTGTCTTCCCCAGCGAGGCATGCCACTCTGCACGAAGCATGCCTGTCCTGATCTTCCTCAGCATGCTTTCTGAGTCAGTTACAATCACGATGTGTGTGTGTGTGTGTGTGTGTGTGTGTGTGTGTGTGTGTGTGTGTGGCGTTCTCTGGCCAGTGGAAAGCTGCAGTAAACGCCTCCATCTCCATTCTATCTGTGTTTAATTTCGTTCATTGTAGAAAGAAAGAAAGAAAGAAAGAAAGAAAGAAAGAAAGAAAGAAAGAAAGAAAGAAAGAAAGAAAGAAAGAAAGAAAGAAAGAAAGAAAGAAAGAAAGAAAGAAAGAAAGAAAGAAAGAAAGAAAGAAAGAAAGAAAGAAAGAAAGAAAGAAAGAAAGAAAAAGACCATTATTAATAAGTCATGTTATTTGAACAACTTTACTACGTACTTATTATTCTCTCTGAATTAAAATCTCCTCACTGGCACCATGCTAACATTGTCAAACTTAGATACTGTTTTTTTTTTTTTTTAAATCAACTGGGCAAAAATTGAGGGGGTGGGGGGACAATTGCAACAATTTTTAGTAGATTTTTTAAAACAACAGTCATCATATCGAACAGAGAGAGGAGATTAAGTTTCTTGAAATTAGAAAGAATATGGGGAAGGGAGGGTTGGGGTTTGGGGGGGGGGGGGGGGGGGGGGGAGGAGTTTAGTGGCAGCAGTTTTTTTTTTTTTAAAGACAGTAGTGAAATAAATTGCAGTCTGTATCAGCAGACAGAGTGCCTCTATGGCCATACTGTGTCGATTATGAAAACAAAATTTAAAGAAATGCCGACCATGAAGACGATGCATAGAGAGTCCCTGCGAACCCATGTTTTAAGCCACAAATTAGGCGTTATCCTGATGTTTATGCTCAAGTTTCATACGGCCAGGTATAAACTATAAAGGGAATAAGCTGGAATGGCGTGTTTACTACTCTTTGCAATATTTTAAAATTCATATTTTCTTAAAATGACACTTTCACATTTAATTTATAATGCAAGTAATGTCAGCAGTGAAATTCATCCCATCCTGTGTCATCACTGATTTTGAATTCTACAAGGAGCGGCTGGCCAACGGGTTACAACGTTGGGATTTCATGAGGAATCTCGGGTTTGATCCACGGTAAGGTGACGGAGTTTTTCTTTTGAGGGGCAAATTAAGCGTCCTAGTCTGCACAGCTCATGGCAACAGCACTAGTCATGCGGCTCTAAATCCTCAGGCTCGCGACTTCCCTGTCTACACTGACCTAAACAGAGGTAAATACTGATAATATTGACAGTTTACATTGACATCTACAGTGTCCACGTAAAAGGCATTACTGGGCTGGACACGCACATCTCGTTGAATCCTGGGGCAGGCGGCGTTACACTGGACGGCTCCAACTTAGGTATAAATGTGCATGCAGACTGGAGAGTCAGTTACAAGATTTTGTAAGTTAATTTTTTTTTTCTAAATTCTCATATAAGTTGTTATTCTTAAAATGTCAACAATTTTCTAGAATTTCCTTATGATTTCAGCAACTCTTTTCAATCTCAGAACTCTCCCATCCTCTGTTATTAGAAGAGACCCACACTGGAAACAAGAGACGGGTACAGCGGTCTACATCAGTGATTCACTAAATGTTCACCGTAGACTAGACTTAGAAACTAAGGAGGTAGAATGCATATTTTTAGAAGTTAAGCTACAAAATCACAGACCCATTGTAGTTTCCTATCTCTATCGCAACTCTAGTGCTAGTAACATGTGGTATTAAAACTTCACCGTCATGATGGATACAGTGTTCAACAATGTAGGAGAAATTATACTTCTTGGGGACTTTAATATAAACGCCCTAAAATCCAATAAGACGTGTGAAGACATAACTGCCTATACAATCTCCAACAGCTAGTCAATCAAGCTACTAGAAAAACAAAATCATCGTCAACACTCATAGACCACATTTATGCAACATGTTCTGATAACATCATAGAATGCAAGGTACCCACTACAGCAATGAGCGATCATTACCCCGTAACGTGCGTGTGGAATAAAATAGGAACACAAATTACCAAACAAAAAAATTTAAGTAATAAATTTAGAAGCTAGAAAAATTTTAATCAAGATACATGCCTACTGGACCTGCTCAATTCACCTCTTGGCCATGTTTATCAACTTCCTGACCCAGATGACGCTCTTGAATGTTTGCTGAAGACCTTCTTTTGCGCATTTGATAAACATGTTTAAATTAAGGAGGTCCGTGTGAAACATCAGACTACATCCCCGTGGGTCACCCAGGAAGTAGCTGAAATTATGAGAGAGCGAGATAGGGCACATAAAAAAAAAAGACTTAATCAGATACTGGAGTCTGCGAAACAAAGTCCAGCATGCCATTAGTAAGGAGAAAAAGAACTTTAAAAAAATGTTAATAGTTGATAAAACAAACACAAAGGATATATGGAAGGCAATTAATACATTGACTAAAAAATGTACTTCAAAGCGTTTACTGACATCTAACATAACATCAGATGATTTCAGTAATTTCTCTGAAGCCGATATAGAACAGCTAAAAGCCACAATACCAAACTGCCCTTGTGATTTATCCATGCTTTCATCATTTTGCGAAAATAAATGCTCCGAAGATATTCCTTCTGATATACCTTTCATGTCATTTACTGATGTGTTTACACATCTCAACAGTCTCAGAACCAGCAATGCATCCGGTTTAGACGGAATCAGCAATAGGATCCTTCGCAGTGCTGCACCAGTTATTTGCGAGTCATTGACTTTTATCTACAACCAATGTCTTGCTAAAAGCTGTTTCCCATTGGCATTTAAGATTGCCAACGTGTTTCCACATCTAAAATCTGGTTCCTTAGACAGTAGCATCCCAGGTAACTATAGACCGATCTCTCTGTTATCATCTCTATCAAAACCACAAGAAAAACACATTCATAAAGTAACATTTCAATATTTAGATCGCAACAAACTTATACTGGATAACCAATCAGGGTTTCGACTAAAATATTCTTGCCATACTGCCTTAACAAACATGATAAAAAACTGGCATCAGAATATTAACGATGAGAAAATATGTGGAGGGGTATTTATAGACTTTATAATAGCTTTTGACATAGTAGATCATAATATTCTTATAAGAAAATTAGAAACAATGAAATTCAACCCTATGCTATTAAAATTAATAAAATCCATTAAAATAAAAAATAAAAATCTCGTACAATAAATCCCTAACGCGGGCAACTAGCTTAAATACTGGGGTGCCTCAGGGCTCGATTCTCGGCCCTCTGTTATTCAATGTTTACATAAATAATTTTCCCTTATGTATGACGTAGTCCTGTGATCTATTCGCAGTCGACTGTATCATCCATGCAACTGCTCAAACATGTAGTGTACTAGAGTCGTCATTACAACAAGAACTAACCAATGTAGCCAAATGGAGCAGTGCAAACCGTATGCAAATAAACATTATTAAAACAAAATCTGTGCTAATAACAACGAGACAAAAACTATGTAGTACAAATTCACAGAGAACGCTTCAACTCTACACTGAAAGGACAAGTGGAAAGTAAAAATGAACACAAAGCACTGGGGTTGATCTTTGATGCAAATCTAACTTTAAACCCACATGTACAGCACTTGTAAAGCAAACAGCTAAAAAGGTTTACCAGCTTGCAAAAATTAAAAACTCTCTTGACGCAAACACAAGAAAGATATTCTATATTTCTCACATCCAGACATATATAGACTATTGCTCTACAATATGGAATGGCTGTTTCAGTTCAGTTATCAAGAGGCTCGCGTCACTGCAAAAGCGCACCATTCGCTTAATAAGTAATAATCCATGGACAGTGAGTTCCGAAAAACCTAAAGGTCTTATGGTACTACCGCTTCGCTTACTTTTCAATAAGGCAAACTTTATGCACAAAATAATATCCCAAAAGGCTTCATGTTATTTATGGCCGTTGTTGATATATAATGGAAGGCACAGTAAACGCCTAAACATGTTACACATCCCTAAACCTAGGATAGACCCATACAAAACAAGTTTGGCGTACTCCGCAGATCAGTTGTGAAACTATCTTCCACAACAAATAAAAAATACCACTAGTCCATGTAACAAAGGTACAATCGAAAACTGTTTGAATATTATTTGAGCACAGACAACATACCCCCATAGAGGAGAAAAAGCAAAATATTTTTGAAATAGCGCTCATTTTCCCTAGATTTGTAGCAACCACTACGGTTTATTGTAGTTAGAAATGTAGACATTCCAGTGCTTGTACTAAATATTTTGATGCTTTTATAATGTTTATTATTTGATGTGTGAATGAAATGATGTAATTGGAGGGAGACCTCGAAGGGCAGAATGTTAGACGGGCCAGCGTGCCCAATTCTTACCCCTTTAAAAAAAAAGTTTTTTCGTTCGTTTTTTCGTTCCTTCTGTATTTGAGAGTTTTTGTTTTCGTGAAACACGACCTATTCTTCTATATATCCACATCTCCTGAGATTCATTTCAGTTCGATTTACTTAACTTCGTCATCCCCTTTGTGGGATGCAATTTCTCGATATTTTGAATCACCACCCTGGCGTTGACAACCTAACATAACGGTTCAATGCGGTTTCCGGGACCTCTCCAAGGGTGAATCTCATCCGAATGGTAACACTTTGTGCCACCGGGTGCTTATTGCTCTGTGTGATGTTCTGGTGGGGTAAAATACTCTTACCTACTATTTCATTTCGATTTTCTAGTCGCTTATTCATTTTCCACAGAAAATTTACCTTTGTAGGGATTCGTGGTAATTCCAGTTTAGATTATGTTATTATTTTTACTGATGGCTCTATGCTGAGGCAAAAAAATCGCATCAGCTTTTTTTTTTTTTTAAAGGCGAAGAGACGTTCTTGATGCAACAAAGCCTATGATAAGATACCGTAATAATATCAGTTTTTAGAACGAACGAACAACGAACAAACTTTATTTTCAAAGGGTTACAAATTGGACACGCAGGCCCGTCTGACATTCGGCCCTTCTAAGTACTCATTTTTCAGAGTACTAATACCTGTTATCAATAATGCATGTTATGGATTTAAAAAGAAATATATAATGTATTCACACATCGTGTGTACGCCATCATACACACTCACACACACGTATACATACATCTACATTTTCATACTGGTGAACTCATATACAGACATACGTGATACATACACATCTGCATCTACATACATATACAAGCATACACATACACAGAAATAAATGCACAAACAGAAAACACACACACATACATTTATGGATATACATGCACACACGCATTCCATATATACACATCTATACATGCACCCATGCATACACACATATACCATTACATGTACAGTCACCAACATATGCCCAAAACCACACATTTACACTTACATGAATACATACACCCACACACATGCATACATATATCCACACATTTATACCTAAACTCACATCTTTACACACATACATACATACCTAAATATACTTTCATATATCCACATGCATACACACACAATCACACACACATGCACACTTGTATGCTTTTATAAATACACAAACACCCACATACCTACACAGCTACATATACCTACATACACCCACATTATACATAAATATACACACACAGATACAATCACATACTTACACATTTACATTTATACATTCTCATACATACAGTCATATATAATACATACATGCACCTACATACATTTACGCACAAATACACATGTGTACATACATAAGCTAAATCTGCATGCATACATAATACAAACATACATCGACATATGAACATAAACACACATTTACATAGACAGACATGCGCGCGCACACACACACATGCATACATACACACATCCATACATACACTCACATACTTACAAGCATACATACATACTTGCAAACACACATAAATTCACACACATACTTACACAGATACATACATACATCCACCAACATGCATACAAACACACATACGTGCATACATACACACACATAACATACATAAACACATATGCATGCATACACACATAACTAATCACACAAACAGACACCCTCATACAAACATTCACTTATATATGCCTGCATACATACATACATGCATACATAATACAGACACACACACACAATCACACTCATATACAATCACACATACACCCATATATTTACAACCTACATACATAAATACACATACATAAATACACACACATACTCACAAACCTAAAAATGCAGACATATATCCACATATATACATACACACTAACAATTACACACACCCACCCACCTAATACACACATATAATACATATAAGTAAGGTGATAATACATGTGAATTATTAACTTCATCTATGGTGGCCTATAATCACTAGTAAGCATGAATTTAAAAAGGCTGCTGTTAAACGAGTACATACTCATA